CCTTTGGAAACAACCCAATTGCTCTTCAGTAGGTTGAATCAACTATGGCACGTCCACACAATGGGCCACTATGCAGTAAACAGGACTGAATAAATCAGTAATCACACTGACAGCTTTGAGAAGTGGGATTCTGGGGCACAGAAGGAGATAAAGAGGTAATATTGATGAAGTTGGTAAGAACCCTGAAGTCCTAAGTTTAAATTGGAAATACCAGTTTGACTCATAACGTATTTTATTTCAAGGGGGGAAAAAAAATGTTTGCAGCTCTACCCCCATCCATTTCTACTTTCGAACCTGAGAAGGTCTAGAAACAGCCATCCAGCTCCCAGCACTGAGCACCTCTGTGTCCAGACTGTAGTCTCTAAACACCACCTCTCACGTCAGCAACAAAGAAAAGGAATGAGGAGTGTGAGAAGCCAGCTCCTTGGAGAAATGGTTCATTTCAGTTCTGACAGTGTAAACTTTGAACCCTCTAATGAGTCATCATGCCAGAAAGTGAGGAAGCTAACAAAGACTGCTAGGATTGCATAAGAAGGATTAGAAGCAATTTGCAAAGGTTCCCACTAGCCAAAAATGGGACAATCTGAGCAACAAGAATTATCAGTTTTTGTTTCCCACCTAATATGTTCAACATTCATGATTTTGTAATTATGCCAAAAAACTAGAAAAAGCTATTTTGAAAACTGCTTTGTAAAAAGAAATCGATCATTTTTCATGTCTTGGTGATGGACAGCTTCTCTTTATAGAAATATTCTGCTAATAAATGAAGGGGTGAAAAAATAATTACCATTGGCTGCTAACAAAACAAAAAGAGAAACAGGACATGTGTACCACCTGACACCACCACATATGCAGTCTTGCAAAAAAAAGAAAAAAAATGCCCCCCCCAAAATATTTCTATCTGATAAAGTCTCCCTCTAGATGAATCAACTTACAAGAAATGCAAGAGAACGAATATGCTAACTCCACCACACAGATGTAATCAGCAAACTCCAGACCATTAGTAGGTCTCATGACAGGACCTGTTTTTTTTCAACAACAAAAGCAGAAGAAACCCAAAGAGACAAGGGTAACTAAAAGATTAAAGGAGAGTTAAGATTCTTTAAAGACAAAGATAACTTAAACATACCAATCAACTGCAATGTGTAGAGCTTATATGAATCACAATTCAAAAAACAAATTTTTTTTTTTT